GTTTTCAAGCTCAGGGAGTAGATCATAGAATTTCTTTTACAGTTTATGAATAAGCCAAGGAATTTATATCACAGTCAGAGGATTCTTTTGCTGAATTAACCCCAGCTCCCTCTGACCCTAAGAAGTCATAAACCAACAGGATACAGCAAAGGGAGAATGTGCTATAGTGTTTCAGCTGACCTACAGAGTGCTGTCTCTGTCATGCCAAGGCTGGAAACCCAGATGATGAATTACAGAGCAATATGCTAGGTTCAAATGCAAGCATCAACCCCTTCACTCTATATATGCATATGCAGACAGGTTCACTCACCCCAAACCAGCTCAGCTTCTGCAAAAGGCCAAGTACTGTTAGTGCTCATTTACAGAGTCTTATGCTAAGATAAAACAGGGAAGAAAACTGCTTATCAAGGAAGCATGCATACATCTGTGAATAACAATATTCAAGAACACATGCTGTATGTTAAATAAAAGCCAAAAACCCATTGAGCTTCTCTTTTTGTATATAGATTATCAAGCATATCAAAAATAGAATTCCAAAGCAGAACTAGGAAGGTAACCAAGAACCTCGGCTTTTATAAAGAACAGCTTTCTAAATTAAAAAAAAGGATAAAAATTGATACACAACTCTAAAAGAACTCTGCCTGGCTTTATCTTGTAAATACAGAACAAAGCCTTTTATACAAAGTAGCTAATAAAACAAAGTCTAGCTGACCACGTGCACAGAAAATGGGATAACACAAACATCTATACCAGGACCTCAAACCTAATCAGCTGCATTAACTAAGAGATGAAGGTCTTCGCAATATTTACACTTCTGCTGTACTGCTTAGTTGTACCGAAAGCTTAGCCCAGCTGAAGACTTATTCACAAAGATGAATCACCTCTTTAAAATGGACAGTGGCTGGTTGTTTTACCTCTAGCTCAGAATGAAAAGTGATACTTTGAAAACTGACCAAAAAAAAAAAAAAAGAGGGTACAGTTTTTAATTAATTCAAAACCACAGAACTTAACAGATACCGAGAGCATGAAGTATTCAACACTGCAACTTTTAGAAACCAGACATTCACCACTGAATAAAATAAGTTTATGGCTCCACTGTTTGATGAACTGAAAATATCTTATTGCTCAGAAAACCCCTGAGAAGCTGTCAAGAATTTTCACGATGCAGTGAACTTTATTACTAAAAGCCATTAAATGAGTACTCAACTATTTTTGCACTGTTTGCAGATGACACTGATTCCCTTCACCAACTACCCTCACTTTACTTGGAAGCAATGCAAGCTATTCCTCAGAAAGCTATGCTTCCTCAGGCCCACTGAACTTTGGACAACAATTGCCTCTGGTGATTAGTCTGCGTGTATTATTGGCTGAAGTCTTCAGTTATAGCACAAGTCAAAACCACTTCTCCAGAAGTACAACATGAATCTAAATATAGTATTTTCTTACAAAACGTCACATAAGGCATTTTGCCATACCACTTACAGATTTTTTTTTTTTTCAAATCACAAGTCACAACTTAGTGGCAACTCTCCCTTCCCCCCCCTCCTTGCCCCCCAACCTCGTTTTCATCAGTATAATCAAGAAATGATCACAAATTGTAACAGAATGGCATCAAAAACAACCATGAAAATTTATTTCAGTTGATTCTCACAGTGAAGGGTATCAATCACAAAGTTCTCCACCAAAACTGTGACTGACATCACAATAGCAGCTACACTAGAAGAGGAAAGGATCAGAGTTTATTACAGGACATTATAAATGAATTTAGCAAGGCATTTTTTCTGAATTACTAACTCTCTTTAAAATGAGTCCGTCTCGCTTTTTAGGTAAAAAAAAGAGGCCTTGCAAGTTTCCCTCCTTCTGTAGTGTTATTCTTTCATAAGTTGTTTTCAAACTGCATATTCCTGTAAATCCAACCTGTATCATCTCCTGGCAAGGTAGTTTCTCACACCGTACTTAATTTACAAATGTACTAGAAAACTTCAGTGTCTTTCTACTTCAAGTAAGTTCAAAATGTCATCGTTTACTGTTTCTCACATAATATTGGCTACAAATTTTGCAAGGCTCTATAGTAAAGGTTAGAGGTCTTTGGTATGTGGTTTCACAAAACTCACCTTAGCGTAACTCCTAAATTTAGGAAAGCCTGCTTGAGAGAGCTGAAACATTAAATGTAACTGGTAGGAGAACACACGAAAAGCATTTTCACTCAGACAGCTATAAAGCTTTTTCCCAAGAGCCATCTGCACTATCAACTTGAAAAACTAGGGTCTTTGTGCAAACTGATGTATAACATCAATAGTACACAGAAAACACACCTAAAGTTTAAGGATAGGGCTTGTGAAATAAGAAAAAACAAAAGCACCACATTAGTAAAGGCAATAAAGCAGACCTGCCTGCAAAAAATACTGGACTGTGAATCCAGAGATTTTAATGAAGAATTACAGTAACATTCTGATATTCATTTAAGCATTGGGGAAAAAAAAAACCAAACTGTAAAAGTCCTAATTTTCATGAAAGTGTAGTATGCCAAAATATCAGAAAATCAAAGGGTAATGTAGTTCCTTATTGGATAGCAAGGTGAAGAAATGTCCATAATTAAAACAGCAAAATAACTTCATGAAAAAACCTAACACAGATTAGAAATCGAGGCAGTCCTGTTCCTAGAAGCTTGGACTGATGTGCTGAGTGACTAACAACACTATTGAATCGCTTCCTCTTACTCCTGTCTACCCGATTCATTAAAGTACAGCCCAGATGGGTAAGTCATTGGCCCTTCCAAAAGGCAGAGTCCTCAAGGGTTCTCTGAATCCTCATACCACATGCTCCATGAGTGTTGGGGTTTTTTTTATTTCCTCTTCTCTGCATCTTCAGAAAGTCAAAAAAAGAAAAGAAACCCACAGCTTATGGGACAGAAGACTGAAGAAGTTGTCAGAACAGGTGAGACTGTGCAGGAAGCACTCTGAAAGGAATTGATAAGGTGCAGTTGTAGAAGAAAGAACAAGAATAAAGAGGAGGAATGGACAGAACTGCTACATTGCGATTCTGGGTCTTGCCAGCTTTGACCTTTAGTGTCTCTTGTGTCTATGATTATACAATATACACAAGCCAACTGAGCACAATGCATATATGAGAAGGCTTACATGTATATGTTTTTTACACAGCTGCCATGAGGGATAAGTGGTCCAAACATGAAATTCAGTAAATAAGCGCTAAAAGTCAGTTTTAGCCTTTTAACCTGACTGCAAGACCAGGATAAAAATTTGGTAATGTCTACATCAATCAAATCCAAAATAACAATATATCAAGAACTAGTAAAACCTGTAATCTTAAGTGGTGGTCTTGATAGACTGAAGTGATTAAGATTTTTCCAAACACAGTAGAAAGCCAAATCATCAAAAACACCTATTCTGTCATCTCTCTGCGAAGCAAATGGAATATCATAGGCAAATGGAATATCACAGGAAGGCTATTTGTTAACTGATGCTTTGACTGCCAAATGCAAGGGGAGAGCCATGGATGTTGCCTACCTAGACTTCAGCAAGGCTTTCGACACAGTCTCCCACAACATCCTCCTAGGGAAGCTCAGGAAGCGTGGGCTGGATGAGTGGACAGTGAGATGTATTAAGAACTGGCTGAATGGGAGAACTCAGAGGGTTGTCATCAGCGGCGCTGAGTCTAGTTGGAGGCCTGTAACTAGTGGTGTCCCCAGGGGTCGGTACTAGGCCCAGACTTGTTCAACTTACTCATCAATGACCTGGATGAAGAGTTAGAGTGTACCCTCAGCAAGTTTGCTGATGACACCAAACTGGGAGGTGTGGTAGATACACCAGCAGGCTGTGCTGCCATTCAGTGAGACCTGGACAGGCTGGAGCGTTGGGCAGAGAGGAACCTGATGAGGTTCAACAAGGGCAAATGCAGGGTCCTGCACCGGGGGAGGAACAACCCCATGGACCAGCACAGGCTTGGGGCGGACCTGCTGGAGAGCAGCTCTGTGGAGAGGGACCTGGGAGTGCGGGTGGATGACAAGTTGACCATGAGCCAGCAGTGTGCTCTGGCTGCCAAGAAGGCCAGTGGGATCCTGGGGTGCATTAGGAGAAGTGTGTTCAGTAGCTCGAGGGAGGTTCTCCTTCCCCTCTACACTGCCCTAGTGAGGCCCCATCTGGAGTACTCTGTCCAGTTCTGGGCTCCCCAGTTCAAGAAAGATGAAGAGCTACTGGAGAGAGTCCAGCGGAGGGCT